TCTGCCTGAAATCGCCTGCCAACAATATCATCAAGCCGCCAAAGATGTTGTTATTTCGCCTAAAATCCTTCAGTGTGAAGCTAAGTGCTTCAAGTGATTTCTTATGTGCCATTGTGCACTCATCCCAAGCAATGAGCTTGCATTGCATCAACAATTTTCCCATTGCACTGGATCGGGAAATATTGCATGTTGGAGTATCAATTGTGTTTAAATTGAGTAGCAACTTAAGCGCAGAATGTGCAGTACGACCGCCATCTAGAAGAGTCGCCGCAATTCCAGATGATGCTAACGCCAAAGCTATGTCACATCTTGATCGAATAGTGGCCAAAATCAATGAAATGACAAATGTTTTCCCTGTTCCTCCAGGTGCGTCCAGGAAGAATAGACCACCAGTATTATTGTTCACCGCCTGCATTAATGTTTCGTATACTTGTTTTTGCTGTTCATTCAGCATCGGCACATTATTTCGGACGAATTCCTGCAATGTATCAACATTGTATTGCAGCTCTCGATTTAATCAGCTCAGCTCGTTGTGCCGCATTAGCCTCAGTGAAGTAAACTCTTTGGCCATTTTCCAAACGCACTGCTAAATGTACAACTGTGGGATATCTTTCATGAATTTGAAATGACAATAATCGCCACAGTGCTTCATTAGTAGTGACGTATCTGCCCATTTGGAAGTTGCTGATTTCGTCATTCGCATTTTCCGACGCAATACCAAACACAACCATGTCCCTGCCTTTTGTGACGTACTTGCACAAATATTTGATTGATTTGGCCGAATGACAACTCTCAACGTTTGCATGTGTTTCGAAAAATCGTGATAGCAGCGGGCAATATGGTACAATGAATTCATTTCCGATCTCAATCTCTTGATTTTGAACTATAACTTTGATAGTTCGATCATTATCTTCTTTTGAACGCCGACGATAAACTGGATATCCATCGTTCCCTGTGACTGTTTCAGCAACTAACGGTCGCGGATATCGTTTTGTGCACTTTCCATCAGCCATGCAAGGCGATAATGGATTTAATGCACCGCACGGTCCATGCACCATCTGTGTCGTCACAATGTCGTGTAGATGGGGATTAGTGACTGGATCAGGAATTTCAGCTGATACGATGTCATCCACTTCATTTGAATGTAATTTGGTCAGCAACCAAATTAGGATATGAGCATGCGGTAAACATTCGTTTAGTAATTAGATTTAAAATAAGAATTTAATCGATCAGAAATTTAACTTTTTATTATTTTTCCTGGGTTCTTAGCTTTGAGATTATTATAAATATAATCTATGTTATATGTTTAGTTCGATTTATGTTAAAAAGAATATAAAGTAACAAACAAAAATGTTGTAAAACGTTATTTATTTCAAAAGGTTTCTAAACGTTTTGCTGGTTTTCAAAATGACATCCAGCAAAGTGACGTTTTCTAAAGTCGGGGCGGAATAAGCCCCCTGAGCAGAGAACAATGAGTACCTAGCTGTCAAACAATGTATCACGCACGGGCACCATCTACTTAAAATGTTGATTTGTAGTACATGCTATGTATCAGAGATGGCGCTGTATGTGAAAAAAGATGTTCCCGCTTTTCTGTTGAAAATTTTCTGAATGAATATGCTGAATGCTGAATTTTCTTTGCTATAAACCTCACGGAGCCCGAGATCTTTCCAACGAATGCAAAACCGTGAAAATCGGTTCGTGCGTTCTGGAGTTATAGCGTCAGGAAGGAAAACCCGACTTATTTTTATATAGTAGATAAATTATATTGAATAATAATTTTGTCATTTATATTACTAAACAATACATAGGGATAGTTAACCTCAATTGTATTGGAGCACTTAGGAAGGTTGATGAGCACAGTTTTTTCACAAATATTTTCTTATATTAATTAGTATTGATTTAAATATTCGATTTAAATCACTTCTGATTATAATTCAACGCACATATAAAATTCGCACTTGTATAAAGAACACAAAATGAAAACACGTGTTTTAAATGTAGAAACTCAAAGCATGTGGATAAATATTAATACACAGTGAACAGAGGCGGCTTGCGTACCAACATGCGCCACTAACAGAGGTTCCATTTCTGTTGTTGGTAGCATTTTTTACGAGTGTATAATAACCGGCAAACTTCTTGAGCATTTGTTGACGTAGTGGGGGTAAGTTTGCGCATGGTACACTCACGTGCAAAAACATTACTTACTCTGCGTCATAATGCTATTAAATTATTAAAATCAACATATGTATTTATTTATATATTTATTAGAACATCAACAAAACATATAGGTTAATAATTGTAATAATTTAATCTTGGGGTAAAATAGATATTCCTTCTATTAAGTCAAAACTAGAGCTGTTGCCAGGTCTTGGTTCAGTTAAAGCGAAGCTGGTATTTGTAATTTTTTTTTCGTTATCATAATCTTGACCATCATCATCATCACTGTTTTCATCACCCGAGTCGCTATCATCGTGATGAGTCGACATAGGGCTCATCGGCGTAGTTTACAACTCGGTCGATTCGGTCTTCTTTTTTGTCTATAATTAATTATTTTTTGAAGATATTCGATTCGTAGTAATCGAATGTTACTTTTTTCATTTACCAGCTTCCGATTATTTTCTGTTCTTTTTTTCCATCTGAAGCCTAGCTCTTTCATAATTCGTCGTAAGCTTCATTCCGAGCCATTAAAATTTATATCTTCTTTAAATTTTTCGAAGCCTTTCTACGGTACGGAGTTTCGCTGCTTGTTATGTAGTTATTATGATTACATCTTTTTATTACAGATTGAACGAAACTATCCATTCCGGTAACTTTCTTCTTCCCTGATCTTTTCTTACCCGGAGTCCGAAACACGGCGAGCAAGCCAGAGCCTTTAGCTTCGTTAATAATGCACCTAACAGTACTCACTGATGTTTTTGTTGCTTCCGAAGTCTGTTTTAATTTTTCCATATCATTCTTCCCCTGTTTTATAATGAAGCAATATACGTCGTACACAAATTTTCTACCCTTTCTTTTAAGTACTACACCAGTTTGTCACGGCATAGTGTATGTTTTATAAAAAATCAACAAACACTCAACAAATAGCAATGGCAACAAAGTCCACAAGCAATTATAACAAATAACTTAACGATTAATAACGATAGACTTTCCACTGTACGCAAGCGTACTTTTGGGAGCAAGCGGAATGAGGGCGCGGTGCGGGACGCAAGGGTCGACTGATTTACCAATAACGCGCTCGATACGATTTCCCCTGCCGTCGCGCCTCACCCTCACCACCAAAGTGATCTAAAATTCGGTTCTGCGCAGTCAAGGTCATTTGCTCAAGAAGTTTGCCGATTACTATACATGCGCGAAAGTTCACCTGCGGCTATATTCAGACTCGTCAAGTTACGTCGGTCGTATTGTAATGAGCGATTTAGTGGGCAACTTCATTTCTGTTAATTTTGTGTCACGGTGCGCGCGCATCGTAAAACTTCACTCTCATCAATTTTTCATAACGCGCCTAAAGAAGTATAACTTCAATATATAAATAAATATCAATTAGATGACTGCTAATTCTCTGAGACACAGTTCTCGAACCCTTGTCTTAAACACTTCACGTGTAGTGGCCGACCTTAACTTGAGTGGGATAGATATCATCATACTATTTAATAAATGCACATATAAATTGGCAAAGACATAACGCTTTTTTAAATTTCTTTTTATATTCTATGTAATTTTTCAGGATAAAAGATCTTACAGAAAAAACGAATGAAAAAGAAACGACCCATTTAAAATTAGAATCCGAGTTACGGCATGCACAATCGACCATAACTGAATTACAATACAATTTAGGCAAGTCGAATGCTGAATGCCACAGACTGGAAAAAGATTGGGAGACATATAAAGTAAGAGTGAAAAGTATGTTACACGCCAAAGATGATGAGATTAAATCATTACAAAACGGACTGAATATAAATGAAGAAAGTAAATTTTTGATTGAGCAGTTAGAAAGTGTGAGGTGAGTTTGATTTTTTAGATGAATGATGCGTTTAATAATGTTTTTAACCTGGTGATTCTCAGGAGGGCTAGATTAAAGTATTAAAATTTAAATTGCTATTATTCCTTGATAAGTGCTTAATATAAAATTTCAAGTCAGTGGAACATACTTTCTTCAGTTATCGCATGTCTCGCACACAATAAAAACTGCTTTTACAGTTTAATTTTGAGTTTTTCATTGATTTCATTTCATAGATAATAAAAATGGCAACAGTCATGTAGTCGTCAGTGAACGACGAAAACTAAGATATTTGTAAAGTATTCCTAAATCGAAAATAATGTAATGACACAAAAAAACCGAAAGATCATAAAAAAAAGTAAAATAGTAATTTCATTTATGGAACATTTTAAGATTTGTGAAAATAACTTTGTTACATAGCATAGTTCAGAATCTGATTAAAATATATATCTCTGAAAAATTATGTTATTTAAGATCACAGTGTCTAAATATGTGAGGTACAGGGTGTTGATTTTTTACACTGTCATAAATATACATAATATCACTTAGCCGAGTGAAATGGGAAATTGTTTATCATTCCCGATCCTGCGGACCGAGGGGTAAACAGTCGACGTCGCCCAAAACACGTCATTTCGGATCCTCCCGATCCACTAACGGTGATTTTAGGTACTTCAGGCACCGGTCATCGTGCTCGTCGAACCCGTCGCTTGCGACGAAGGGCTCGCCGAGTAAATTAACCCATAGACACAGCTCACTGATTTTCTCGCCGGATCTTCTCAGTGGGTCGCGTTTCCGATCCGGTGGTAGATTCTGCGAAGCACGGCTCTTGCTAGGGTTAGTATTAGTAACGTCGTCAGGTTTGAGCTCCGTGAACTCACCTACTGGTTCGGTGAATCTAGAATAACCTCTTGAGGTTACTAGAATACAAAAAAAATATATTTTGCCTGAACTGGTACTTCCTAGCTCATCGCCCCGTACCTGCTCTGACTTTCGGGATACCCTGTATTTATAATTGAGACTTCCACCACTTAACTTCAGGTGGACTGTGATTTCGTTGACCCACCTGTGCAATGAAAAAAAGATGTAGGTCAACCTAATAAGCCGTATTAAAACTCATTCGTTTACGTGTTTACCTTAAGTATATAATTTTTGCGGCTATGCAAAAAATAAATAAATAAACCAGTATTTTTAAGGTTACCATATCTGAAATCACCAGGCATGCCGTAAATACCAAACTATTACACCCTGTATACCGATTTGAGTTGTACAAATACTCAATTTAAAAAAAAAGTGTTTTTGTAATGATAACTTTATTAAACATATACCTATCTACTTAAAAAAAGAATGCCATGAAAGCACATAAATTGATTTTCTGCGTCTCACGTTAGCATTAAACCGCAACTACGGTGGAAACATTATAAATCTAATATTGCATATCGTCGTTGTCAAACTAAAATGGTAGGCAGCGGCTTGGCTCTGCCCCTGGCATTGCTGAAGTCCATGAGCGACGATAACCACTCACCGTATGTCGTGGCCGTATGCTCGTCTGCCTACAAGGGCAATAAAAAAAAAAAGTGCAGTTTTTGGGGTTTTTACTTTTTGACTTTTCGTATAGTTCACATCCCTATCTACCGTATAAAGAAAAAACTATTATGTGAAAAAGCTTTAATATTGACCTATAGCTTTCATTTGATTTAGTTCTTAAAAAATCACTTTCATATAACATTTTATACGAAAATGTTTTTACTCGTTAATTTAAAAAATCCAACTAAAAATAGAAAATAAATTTTAAGAAATTCGAATTAAAAATAGAGTAAGAAAAAATGATTTTATTGTAAAAGAAGCGTGGGGTACATGGTATAAGTAGTTATAAATATTTTATGAACAGATATGAGTAGAAGGGTTATTTTGATAATATCCTAAAAAGCACACCACGCTTTTTTTTTTCGCAAATTAGAGATTTTGGACATAGCAGACTTTGGTTTGACAGCGACGATATTCCTATTGGCGATTTTGCGAACCTTTTTTTATTCCAGAGACGAGCGTGATGAGCTCTCCGTGATGTTAGAACAAGTGAGGTCCGAGTTGGATGAAATGAAACAGCTCGTTGGACAGCTGGAGTCGCGCCACGTGGCCGCCGAGCGCGTCGTCGCCGCGCTGCGAGACGCCTTGAAGGAAGAACGTGCCGCCAGGAATCGAGCAGAATCACAATCTGCAGCTCTATCTAACGTATGTAATGTAATTTTACTTAATAGGTAGGCAGCGGCTTGGCTCTGCCCCTGGCATTGATGAGGTCCATGGACGACGGTAACCACTCACCATCAGGTGGGCCGTATGTTCGTCTGCCTGCAAGGGCAATAAAAAATAATAATAATACCATATTGTTATAAGCCGCGCCAATAAAGAAACGAATCGAAAATGGCGTCTATGTACCTGCATTGACAGGTGGTAGGGTCAACAAATAAAAAGAAAGATAGAAATAAAAGTTGTTTATTGTAAAAAAATATTTAAAAAAAACAAATGAGAATGTACTTTACTTTATGCCCTGGCCATTTTAGATTCGTTTCTTTATTGGCGCGGCTTATACGCGCTGGGGTTCGGGATAAATAAAAATTCTACCGAAGTACAAATTAACACTGTATTAGCAGTTAAAACACTTAAAACACTTAACGAACACTTTAAAATTCTCAATTCACTTCTTCCGCTTAGCTAGCTTCAGCTGATTCTATCTTTGTTTCGCTTCGAGTAGTTCCAATTACTAACTGCTTCGTGCCATCATTGCTATGCTTTTATAGTAGAGACGACACCCCTTTTTTTTCCTAGTAGAAGTACCTAAAAGCACCGTTAGTGGATCGGGAGGATCCGAGATGACGTGTCTAGATTTGTCAAGAACAAGTTTAAGCAATAAAAAGTTTTATGAAATAATTCTCAAATATACTTTTATTTGCAGGAACTAAAAACATTCCAAGAAGAAACAAATCAAACAATATCGAACCTCAGTGATTCTCTGAGGGAGAAAGAAGCCGAACTAACGAGAATGAGAGAATCCTCGACTTCCGTACGCACCAGCGACAGTAGCGCCCTCAACGTAGCCGACTATGACGTCACGCAGGATACCATAGACAACGATAAAATTTACTATCTAACGCAGTCTCTTGTGCAAAAACAAGGGAAAATTGACTCGTTATTGGCTGATAATAACACGCTTAGGATCCAATTAGATAAATTGGAGGTAAGCTAGGTATTTGTACACACTGCATGAAAATTATTTTGTTCTTAAAATAAATATATATAAAAAAGGATGCGTGTACTTATGTACGCGCGTAAGAAGTTATACCTTGTTTTTATTAAATTTATTTCTTTATTTTTTAATATTAAATAATTAATAATAAATATTTAACGTTAAAAAATGAATGCTAATAACACCTTTTTTTACGAATGTACATGCGCGAAAGTTCACCTGCGGCTATATTCAGACTCGCCAAGACACGTCGGTCGTATTGTAATGAGCGATTTAGTGGGCAACTTCATTTCTGTTAATTTTGTGTCACGGTGCGCGCGCATCGTAAAATTTCACTCTCATAAATTTTTCATAACGCGCCTAAAGAAGTATAACTTCAAAAAATCAAAGTAGACAAATTTGTCCGCTTCGTTAGTTCAGTGCGTACTGACTGACAGTACTACCAAGCTCTAAATGTATGAAAGAATGCTTGATAGTGGAAATCTGAGTACTCCGTCACATACACGTGTTCTCGTTACCCATGACGCATAAACGATAAGGTATTTTATCAAAACAATTTAAATTTAGATTTTATTATAATTATTGGGGTGACATTGAGATTGTATTGTTCTCTGACGGGCGTAACATCTGCTTATAGCGCGTTTCAAATAAGAATGCGAACGTCAATGACCTTGATCTGTCAAAGTTCGATAAAAAAGTATGGACAGCAACACAAAAAAAAAATTATCATCTATTTCTTAGTGAATTTTTTGCCTAATTATGAAGACTATTGATATGTTTTAATGAACCATACACGCTTATATAATTTTCTTGATTTGTTGAATATTGGTCGAGGTTAATTAAAAATGAATTCAGGTTATATAAAAAAACCCACCTATTTAAAAATCAATGCAAAACTGTCGGGCCCTATAATCTATGGATGTGCGACAATGAAGATGTTTACTCAAGCAGTGGGATGAGTGGAATCGGCAAACTCGAAGATTTGGATTAAAAATTAATACATATTTAAAAATTCCTACCTTTTTTTACTGACTTTACATATTTTTTTCGATTTGACAGCTATGACGTCACAATATGGCGCAGGTCCATGCACATTCTTATTTGAAACGCATTATAAAATATATTCCAAGATGTTACCAGAGCAGACACTGCAAGGCCGACCAATGTCCCTTACATTAGAGCATTAACCCTCCTTGAAAATTGGTAGACTTTTGATTGGATATGTCAGAATTGATATTGTTGAGAGGATCGCTTTATTGAATATAACCTATATTGAGTATATTTAAGTGCATTAAATGAATTAAATAAAACTGCCACTGAGTTTCTCGCCGGATTTTCTCAGTTAGTCGCGATTCCGATCCGGTGCTAGATTCAGCTAAGCACTACCTTAGTTAGGGCTAGTGTTAGCAAATTCTCCAGGCTGAGCCCTGTGAGCTCGCCTACACGTTTGGCGAAACTGGTATAACCTCTCGTGGTTACAAGGATAGACAGGAAAAAAAACTTTCATTAACTTGTATTTACCTAATTAAAACTAATTTTATGGTTTAATCTACCTAGTTCAAGCACAGATGCAAATTATGATTGTGTTTCTACTTCTATGTTAACAATAAATAAAAAAATCGATATATAATTAGATAGGTAAGCAGTCGTCGTGTCCTAACGGATACGACGTCCGGTGCATTCGTGTTGAAGCGATGCACCGATGTTCGAATCCCGCAGGCGGGTACCAATTTTTCTAATGAAATACGTACTTAATAAATTGTTCACGATTGACTTCCACGGTGAAGGAATAACATCGTGTAATAAAAATGAAACCCGCAAAATTATAATTTGCGTAATTACTGGTGGTAGGACCTCTTGTGAGTCCGTGCGGGTGGGTACCACCACCCCGCCTATTTCTGCCGTGAAGCAGTAATGCATTTCGGTCTGAAGGGCGGGGCAGCCGTTGTAACTATACTTGAGACCTTAGAAATTGTATCTCAAGGTGGGTGGCGCATTTACGTTGTAGATGTCTATGGGCTCCAGTAACCACTTAACACCAGGTGGACTGTGAGCTCGTCCAACCCTCTAAGCAAAAAAAAGCTAAATAAATAAATAAGTAAATTCTTAGTTCGAAATTCCCTAGTTCAGGCAACTTTTTGTATATGTAACCTATACGTTCGGTTAGGTTACCAGCGTATCGTCTTTTCGCATTAAAAGTGTACAATTTCCAAAAATATTCGAAATTGATTTAATATACGGAATCATTTGGTATCACCAATATTTTTCTCATAAATACTGTCAAAAGAGCGTAGTTTAGTTTTAGTTTTTTTTTTAGTTTACCTATATTTTGACTACTATTAACAAAATTAATACATAATTTTATCTTACTTTAAAAGACAGAATATAATGTAACTGGTAAAAACTAAAAAATAAATGTTGCAAAGATGATTAATATTAAAAATATCACATGTTAAACCTTTAAAACGCTCTCCTGTAAAATTCGTTAGTTTTGAGATTATACAGTTTTAATGCGAGAAGACGATATGTAGGAAAAATAAAACCACAAATCAGTAAACTTGTAATTATTTTTTTTTCAGTCAAAATACAAAGCTGAGTTATCAAAGCATCGCGCGACCAACACTCATAGCGTGGTGCACTTTCAAGACGACTGTCGCGCTCGTTCAAGGAACCACGTGTCCGACTCCAGTGTTGCCACCCTCTCGATGAGGATCGGGCTCCTGATGCGGAGGTATCCTATATTCAGGCTGTTCATCCTGGTGTACATGGTGAGTTTATTTTTTATTTATTGCTTAGATGGATAGACGAGCTCACAGCCCATCTGATGTTAAGTGGTTACCGGAGCCCGTAGACATCTACAACGCAAATGCCGCCACCCCAATGAGATAAGTTCTGAGGTCTCAGTATAATTACAACGGCTGCCCCACTCCTCAAACCGAAACGCATTACTGCTTCATGGCAGAAATAGGCAGGGTAATGGTATCTACTCGTGCCCACTCACAAGAGGTCCTACCACCAGTCAGTCGGTGATTGTTATGTTAATTTTAAGTTTTATTAGAGCAGAGGGGATATATTAACCCTTAAACAAGTTTGCTCGCGAATGTGCGTCTTCTACGTGTCTACATATACAGGGTGTTAATATCGGCTTACCATTAAATTAAAATGCAAACATTACTAGAAACTTATTTATTAGTTAAGATAGAATAAAATTTGATTTTAGAACAACCGAAAAATAGGACAATATGTTTTTTTATATATATAAAGTAATTGAACTTTATATAGTTATAGTTCAAAACCACTAAGCTTACCTATAGACACAGCTCACTGAGTTTCTCGCCGGATCTTCTCTGTGGGTCGCGTTTCCGATCCGGTGGTAGATTCTGCGAAGCACGGCTCTTGCTAGGGTTCGTGTTAGCAACACTCCGGTTTGAGCCCCGTGAGTTCACCTACTAGTTAAGGTTACGCTGAAATAGTCTCTCAAGGCAAGCTTAGGTAGGAAAAAAACAATAAAAATTAATAAGTAAATGTCATGTTAATTCTAAATAGATTTTACTGCTTAAGTACACAGTATTCTCTTCGAAATAGATAACTGGCCTCGTAAAAACCTACAGCATGAGAATCGTCGAATAAGTACCTAATACGTACTTATTACTTATTAATCTTTAATCTATATATATAAAAATGAATTGCTGTTCGTTAGTCTCGCTAAAACTCGAGAACGGCAGAACCGATTTAGATAATTTTGGTCTTGAATTATTTGTGGAAGTCCAGGGAAGGTTTAAAAGGTAGATAAATATGAAAATGTTCGGAATTAAATAAATAAAACAATTTTGTTTTTCCTTTGATGTGTCCCCCGTCGGACGGATTCCTTTTGTTTGTTGTAAGTTTATTTTAAACAAAAGCTTAGGTCTTTTATTTATCGATCGAGGCACTACGAAGTCTGCCGGGTCAGCTAGTTTGTAATAAAAACAATTCAATTAAATTTTCTTGTTATGTTTCAGATTGGATTACATCTATGGGTTTTCACAGTGTTGCTGTCGAATACACCAGATACCTACATCACGAGAGCGATGAAGTCATGATGACCGTTGATACGTTTTTTGTTAAAGGAAAATTCTTGTGGATTTAATTTAGAAAAAAAAAAACTCGCTAACAGTAGCTCATTTGTGTAAATTAGATCTGTAAACATTAAAGTATGTGAGAACACATTTTCAATTTTAATTGGTTGTGATGTACTTATATTGTTGAAAGCGATTTAAATATGAGAATATCTCTATAGAAATTGAATACTATAATTCAAGAGAGAAGCTAACACTACACGTAGTATGAGGAAGATGTATGGGAAATATCGGAACCGACCTAGTGCTTCTAATTTCGAGAATATAAGTCAGATAGTCAAGATAAGCTTACTGTAATAATGATTGTTTGTTTCTAGACATTTTTTTTAAAATTTACGCCTTTATATGTCGATAAACATTTTAAGTGGGAAGGAAATAGCTGTCCTTAATATTGGGAAATCAAATTAATGCACCTCCTTCGGTCTTAATTATAGAAGGTGCCTCATAAATACTGTGATTCAAAAATACAAGTACATCCAGTTCGCGAATTCTAAATATATGAACAAGGATATTGATTGATCGCGAATCGAATTAGAGCCACTGAATACCAGACCAAAAAGACGATTCTTACGACATTACTATGTCAATAGATAAAAAAAAAACAAATGTCATGACCGAATTTTGTAAGCACTTTAAAGGCGCTTGTGTTTATATGTGTTTTTTGTTTTTTTCACGAATTCACCATAGCCCACCCACTGCTTTAGTCTTAATGTATTAATTAATTAATTACTTCCTGGTTGAAAATGTACAGGTAATAATTTTGTAAATTAAAATCGGTTTTGATTATTAATCTATAGTGCAAATAGTTTCATCATAAACATATTTGTTAATTAAAAACAAAAAAAAAAACAAAAAAAAAATTTATAATAGTGTAGATTGGTATGTATTTGTTGTAAGAATTGTGTATTAAATTCAATTATTTCCTATTTAGTTGATTTAATATCGTTTAAAACACGTGATCTGTCACTTGTCGATGTAATAAGAACAGACAAAAAACAAGAGAAATCAATTAGGTAGCTTAGTTTCAGTTAAAGTCTAAAATATACTAGTGCCGCACTATTTCGCATTAATTTTGAAGTATAATAAGAAAAAAACATGTGTGTTATATTTTACTTTAAAAAGTTTTGATTATCAACTTGCAGCATCATTGAAACGTTTATGAATATAGAGCACACACACAAATTCGTAGATTATCCCTGGGGGATGGAATAAAAAACCTTATTTTATAAGGGACTCTGGTATTATTAATTAATAAACTATCTTAGTTTAGAGCGTGTTTTATCTATATCAATTGTCTTTGAGGTTGAGTGTAAATGAAAAACAAAAATGGCGGCGTATCCCTTGCTCTTGTCAGTTTCACGGTACTCGTTTATGAATTATATACAATTGAAGTGGTGCTAAATAAAAAAGGTTGTATGTAAACTTGATTGGTGAATGTTATGTACATAAATCGAAGGTAGCAACTTTATTGTAGTTGCATTTATAAAAATAATATTGCTGAGAAAATTTTCGTGTATAATTTAATAATATTTTAATGTAATCAATCACTTGTAAAAGTAGGTAATGTCTATGCCATATTTATACTATGTACCTTTTTGTTATGTAAGTTTTATGTTTGAAATATCTGTGTTTTAAGCTAAATGTTTCTCGGACATAATCTTTTGTTGAGATTAAATTTAATGTGTATATTTTGTTGACCTATTTGTGAGTGGTAAATGAGGGCTCAATAAAACAATTTATTTTGGATTTTCTTTTTTTTAATCCTTTATAACTAACTACTTTCACAGATTTAATCTGCCATTTTTTTTCTTAACTTTTTTTATTGCTCTTGTAGGCAGATGAACATACGACCCATTTGATCGTGAGTGGTTACCGCCGCTCTTGGTCATCAGATATGCCAAGGGTACAGCTAAGCCGCTGCCTAAGCGATACATAATACATTTTAATATTCGCGCTCTGGCGTCAACTTTAAGATATGAGGCGAGATTTTCAATAGTATTGGAAGTGACACGACTATTCTACCCTTCAGATCTGTGTGCTTAGTGCGAGTTTTTTAAAGTTCTCGATAGCGTAAAAGTTAGCTCATATTTGTATGGAATGGGATTGTTTGCTTACGTTTGCCGATAGGAGCGCTGTTCTAACTGCATACAAAATTGGCTTAACTTTTACGCTATCAAAAACGTTAAGAAACTCGCACTAAGCACACGGAATACTTCTCGGCAGAAATAAGTAGCACGCGTTTATCGTCGTCGTGGCCTAAAGGATAAGACGTCCGGTGCATTCGTATGTAGCGATGCACCGGTGTTCGAATCCCGCAGGCGGGTACCAATTTTTCTAATGAAATACGTACTTAACAAATGTTCACGATTGACTTCCACGGTGAAGGAATAACATCGTGTAATAAAAACCAAACCCGCAAAATATTAATTTGCGTAATCACTGGTGGTAGGACCTCTTGTGAGTCCGCACGGGTAGGTACCACCACCCCGCCTATTTCCGCCGTGAAGCAGTAATGCGTTTCGGTTCGAAGGGTGGGGTAGCCGTTGTAACTATACTGAGACCTTAGAACTTATATCTCGAGGTGGGTGGCGCATTTACGCTGTAGATGTCTATGGGCTCCAGTAACCACTCAACACCAGGTGGGCTGTGAGCTCGTCCATCCATCAAAGCAATAAAAAAAAAAAAAAAACGGTGGTAGCCACTGTTACGGGCCTAGATTAATGTACCTTAGTAATACTTATTAGCTAAATTAAATGTATTTTAGTGAATTAATATTTCGAAAAATCAAGCAGCTAACGAACGCTCGTTCAATGCACGAAACTAAATCCCACACGTTTGAAATCTTATTGTTGTCTTAAGTCTTAAATGGTTATGTGTGTAGTAGTAGGTGTGTCACGTTGCGTACATTCCGCATTTAGTAATACTAGAGGTCCCGCAGTAGTCGAAATTCGACTATAATTAATTGGAATTTTAAGTTTGTACACTATTATGATTGTATTTTATACTTCTATAATCACAAATTCCGCCAAGACTACACTATAAAAAATATTAATAAAGACAAATAATATTTAATCTGTTCTCAATTTGACCACAGACGTCAAGAACCAAAGTTTGACAATAAATAGTATGCATGCGTGTGTGCGTCAAATACACGGTATGTAGTGTGTGTAATGTTTTCTTTATTAATTTAATGTATCTTTTATGCATTGTTTAAAAAAAATATTAGCATTGTGCACTTCTTCTCTATATTCTCTATATAAGTGTGAAAAATTTCATACTCCTCCGTCCGCGCAATTTTCGTAAAAAGGGATACAAAGTTTTTGCTTCACGTATTAATATATAGATATTTCGTACCCATTTTTTAATCTGTGATTAGCTAATCATCAGCCCTATGACTTGTTTTTACTCTCGGGAGCAGTACGCTTACACTGTATAAATTATTAAAATAAAATATATTTCCTAACTCTGATTTCAACGCGCGAACGATTAAAGCAGATTATGAAATAAAATAGTACTCTTTTATGGGTGACTTTTTTTTTATTGCTTAGATGGGTCGACGTGCTCACAGCTCACCTGGTGTTAAGTGGTTACTGAAGCCCATAGACATCTATAAGGTAAATGTGGCACCCACCTTTAGATATAAGTCCTAAGGTCTCTATAGTTACAACGGCTGCGCCACCCTTCAAACCGAAACGCATTACTGCTTCACGGTAGAAATAGGCAGTGTGGTGGTACTTACCCGTGCGGAGTCGTGGCCTAAAGGATAAGACGTCCGGTGCATTCGTATCTAGCGATGCAACAGTGTTCGAATCCCGCAGGCGGGTACCAATTTTTCTAACGAAATACGTACTCAACAAATGTTCACGATTGACTTCCACGGTGAAGGAATAACATCGTGTAATAAAAATCAAACCCGTAAAATTATAATTTGCGTAATTACTGGTAGTAGGACCTCTTGCGAGTAGGTACCACCGCCCCGCCTATTTCTACCGTGAAGCAGTAATGCGTTTCGGTTTGAAAGGCGGGGCAGCCGTTGTAACTATACTGAGACCTTAGAACTATATCTCAAGGTGTGTGGCGCATGTACGCTGTAGATGTCTATGGGCTCCAGTAACCACTTAACACCAGGTGGGCTGTGAGCTCGTCCACATATCTAAGCAATAAAAAAAAAAAAACACCAGTAAACAAAAGGTCCTACCAGTAAAACTCGTTAGATGTAAGCACCTGTAATTAGCAAATGATATAGCACGTCAAATGTTATCACCTACAACGATCGTATTTCCGATGAATCGTAAAAATCGCAATCGATTCGTAACTTAAGTCTTATCGAAACGGTACGCCTTGGAAATCGACAAACATGTTTTTTCTGTGAATTGAGCAAGTCGTGATATACTCACGCTAACGGGAAATCAACGAATAATATTAAAGGCGAATTTTTATCCTTATTAAGAATCCATTATATAACGCTTCATTATAGAGGAAGAGGTAGACCTAAGAAGAGAGAGGGAGAGAGAAAGAGAGAGAGCATACTTTATTGCGCACCAAAACACATAACATCAGAAAACAGTGAACAGGCAGATACGTTTGTACAATAGGCGGTCTTATCGCCTTATTATAGAAATGGATGGAATACGTGAAAGACGATGTGTGTTAGAGGGGACGATGTGTGTGTGTGTGTGTGTGTGGAAGGGGAAAACATGTTGCGCCGACCCCAGTGACTGGGAGAAGGGCAGGAGAATGATGATATATAGCGCTGCGTGAATATGTTGCACCCCGATCCATTAACGGTGCATTTAGATACCTCAAGCACCGGTTACCGTCCTCGCCGAACCCGTCGCTTGCGACGAAGGGCTCGACGAGTAAATTAAACCATAGACACAGCTCACAGAGTTTCTCGCCGGATTTTCTCAGTGGTTCGCGTTTCCGGTGGTATATTCTGCGAAGCACTGCTCTTGCTAGGGACAGTGTTAGCAATACTCCGGTTTGAGCCATGTGAGCTCACTTACACGTCAAGGAGAAGCTGAAATAGCCTCTCAAGGCTATCGGCATAGGTAGGGGAAAAAAAGTTGCAGCTAAATGGGTGCTAGTCTAAATATGTACGGTCTTGGTATTGTAGGGTTATGTTCAGTCGTAATGCCCGTTTCTTTTCTCGGATTGCGATTTCGAGATTAGATAGTAAGATGCTAAGGGTCGATGGGACTGTAAACCTACAATCGGTAATCCAAATGGATCTATTATGACTACCCCAAAGACCGTGCTGAAATTCTTCCAGAGATCTTCCGCCAAAGATAAATTGATTCTGTTTACAAGCTAGTGAAAATAACACAGACCTAGATTAAAAAAACAAATTTGAAAACTATTTACAGGACATGCATTATTGAATGAAATATTATTGGGTAAGTACCTTTTTTTTTATGATTGAAGGATTACTGGTGGCCCGGAGGCCTTTCCAGTTTCACCAGGACAGGTGGGCGAGCAAAGGCTCAGCCAGGAGGGGTGGGATTTGCTAACAGCTACCCGAGCGCCTCCGAAGGAGACCTAACAGCTCAAGAGCAGCTGCTTCGCGAATGAATCTACTACCGGATCGGAATCGCGACCCGCTGAGAAGATNAGAAACGACCTGTGGCAAACAAATGCTAGCATACCATTCTGCATTAACCGTTCTTTGTCCCTCAAGAGGAATAGTCGTAACATGGCCGGTTTTGGAGACAAACGTGGCCACCATTTTTTTTGCAACACTCCGTGAACGAACAATTTTTGTTGGCTTTAACTCATTTTCGAACACCCAA